TTTCATCAAAGATCCGGTTTTAAATGCTGGCATACACATGTACATGCAGTATAGTTGAAGTTCAAAACAAAAGAGCAATCAGTATATTGTATCAAGAAACATAAAACAGAAAATGTAACATGGACATGCATGTGTTCATAACGTCCATGGTCTTTGGAGAAAAATGAAACAATCACTGTACCTCTTTTCCATGAAATTATCTATATTTTCCCTCTCAAAAGAACCTTCATTTAGTAACACAGAACAAATGAACAAAGACACAAACAGGCAAACACAAAAATAAAATCAACACAATAACATCTAACAAAATGGCCCTTTCAAAAGCAGAACGAGGAACACAGTTTCTGGCTCTTATTTGACAGAACTTGGCTGTTACTTTCAAAACTACAAAGGTAAGACTGTTGTTTTTCGAAAGCCTATGTTGTTGAGATCAGAAGAACTAGTACAATTATACACAGAACACAATTGGAATGAATGAAAACCTGATTTGCATGACATTGTATACTCCAATGCACTTCTAGAGCCGATCAGAAAAACAATGGATCGTTAATATCGAGACTATCACTTATTACGATTCTTGCCCCAGATATATATTTTTTTAATGAGTTTTCAGTGAATTTCTCCTGCTGAAATTTGCCTTGTTAACCAAAATCCATCGAAAAATTTGCTTATGATAATATGTAACATTCTATAGCCAAATATCTAAATTCTAAAGAGGTAATATAACAAAGATTTTATTATTTCTTATATTTCATTCAATGCATATACATGTACTAGACTGGTGTACAACAGTGCCTGTACAGTGTAACAACAGTCAAAAAATAGGAGCACAGCTCCAATTTTTGGTGCAAAAAAAGTGCAGATGCACCCAATATTTCCAGCCCTGACTGTGACGAAGCCTAGAGTATTGAACCATCTTGCCATTTACATGTATTCTCGCTTTTAATTTCTCTCCTTACAGGTGTATCAGTTTACTTAGAAAGCGGAGAGCAGATTTGAATCCATGTGATCCGCAATCAATTATAACTTGGCCTACTTTTTACCTTGGTGCAGTGGTGCGATTGCGGTAACACGCCACCTTCTTGTTTACGCCCGGTAAATGTTGTCGACGACAAACGGGAACCAGTGGTCAGTTGTTGTGAAAAGGGAAAATCTGTCAATACGTCCACAAACAGTACTGCATTGCAGGCTGTTACTAGTGTTAGGACTCCACTGCAAAGGGCCTGGCTAAAACTGTAACTCACATGTACATCGTATGCTGGTCCTAACAAGTTCCAGTTTCAACACAGGTGCCGATACAGTAAACACAAAAGGAGATAACTTGTGCCCGATATTGAACTTGTTGACTAGAAAATCAACGTCCTG